GCAATGTCATTCTTTCTGATGGATGCATAGAATTCTAATATATATATATATATATATATATATATACACATATGTATATATATACATGTATATCACATTTTCTTGATCCATTCATCTACTGAGGGGCATCTAGGTTGGTTCCATATCTTAGCTATGGTAAATGCTGTGATAAACATAGTTGTGCTGGTAGCTTTAGTATAATTTAGGTAAATGCCCAGAAGTGGGATTGCTGGGTCATAGGGGAGCTCTATGTACTCTTTTGAGGAACCTCCATACTGCTTTCTAAAGTGGTTGAACAAGTTTACACTCCCACCAACAATGCAGTAGGGTTCCCTTTTGACCACATCCCCTCCAGCATCTGTTCTTATTAGATTTCTTGATTATATCCATTCTAACTGGGATGAGGTAGAATCTTAATGTTGTTTTGATTTGCATTTCTTTTATGGCTAAAGAAGTTGAGCATTTCTTCATGTGTCTATTGGCCATTCTTATTTCCTCTTCAGATAAGTCTCCCTTTAAGTCTTTAACCCACTTATTAATTGGATGGTTGTTTCTTTGAGGATTTGTTTTTGGGATATTTAATCTTTTGAGTTCTAAGTATATTTTAGATATGAGGCCCTTGTCAGTTGTATGGCTAGTGAAGATCTTCTCCCAATCTATGGGCTTTTTTTGGGGGGGAGGGTCCCGTCATGGGGCTTGAACTCTAGGCCTGGGCGCTGTCCCTAAGCTCTTCAGCTCAAGGCTAGTGCTCTACCGCTTGAGCCACAGCGCCACTTCTGGCTTTTTTCTTTTTGCTTATGTGGTGCTGAGGAATCGAACCCAGTGCCTCATGCATGCAAGGCAAGTGCTCTACCACTGAGCCACCTTCCCAGCCCTCTGTGGGCTTTCTATTGATCTTGCTAGCTATGTCTTTTGCCTTGCAGAAGCTCTGCAGTTTCATGCAATCCCATATGTCCAATCTTTCTTTGATTTATTGTGTTCTGGGTCTTTATTAAGAAAATTTCAGCCTGATACTCAGGATACATCAAGACTTTATTGGGCATGCATTACATCTTTTTTAATTTTTTTAGTCTCTTTTATTTTTAAGTAGTAGTACAAAGAGGTTTCAATTCAGCAGACAAGTTGATGAGTGCAATACATCTTGCTCACTGTCACCCCCTCCATTGTTCTCTCTCATCTTCCCCAGCCCCATCTATTCAATATTAAGCATTTTAAAACACACAACTCAAAAGACAGATGTTCTCATTGTACCCATTTTATAGATGAAGACCTTGAGACTCCCAGAATCCTACTATCTTACCTAAGATCATTAGGCTAGTAAGTGATGAAGGTGAAATTTAAAATCAGCCCAGCTGAAAACAGTCCCTAGGCTCCTAACCAAGTGGCTGTCAGGTTTACCTAACTCCTGCTTTCGTTTCTTGTTTGGTTCCCACTTATCCCAAAATTGGATTGATGGGCAAGGAGAACACAGTGTTTTTCTGTCCTTCTGACTCCTGTGTCTTCAACAGCCAGCACAGGTCTTGCACAAAGTAGATACTTACTACATACTTAATGAGTTTTGTATACTATAACACAATATACAATTGTTGAGAGGCTTGAATGAATAAATACAATTCTTTTAATTGATGTTGATTTTGATTTAATGCAATACTATAATATGAAATTCTAGGAGGCTGTGGGTGATAACAAACTATACTGTGGAATAGTTTTGCTTATAGTTAATGGTTCTGTTAATAGTTTCTTTCTCCTAGGAATACATCTTTTAACCAAGTACCAGAACCTAGCAAGTTAACTTGGAAGTGGAATAAAGAATCCCAACCTGAATCTGGGAGAGGCTCTAGAAAGATCTTTGGGAGTAATTTAGATAGCTATTGGCCACTTTATTATGTTTTCCAAACTAAGCCTTTATACTTTCACCAGCAGCAATCTAGCTGAGAAATCTCTCATTACCTCTTTAAAGGTGGAGCAGGTAACTCAGAGCCTAGAAATCAACACTTTTGCAGTATCTCAAGTGGTGTGTGTCTGTGTGTGTGTGTGTGTGTGTGTGTGTGTTGCCTGTGTTCTACCATTTAAACTACAGCTCCACTTCCAGCCTTCTGATGGTTAATTGTAGATAAGGTCTCGCAGACTTTCCTGACCTGACTGGCTTTGATCTCAGCCTCTTGATAAGCTAGGATTACAGCTATGATCCATAAGGGCCTAGTTCTCAGGTGTTTCTATGTAACAAAACTTTGAACCACTGTGAGGAGAGTAGCAGCACTTTTACCGCCATTCCACTGGGAGGAATAATCTGGAAATGCTTTCAAAATATGGTTCAAATTCATTGGCCCTGCTATTAATCTAAAGATTCTTTGAGAGCCATGGCCTTCTAAGTTGTCCGACTCTGTGTAAGGGAGAAACATTGCATTTATCCAAAAGGTGTTCTTGCCGCAGGTTTAAGAGGGTGACTTCTCCCTTCACCCTGAAGCCCCTCCAACACTAGTACACAGTCATCCTTGCATAGAACTAAGCTACAAGTTTGTTCTACATTTGCCTCAAGGTACAGTATGTCAGAACACAAAGCTCGGGTTCCCAGGCTCATTCCCTCCTCTGCAAGTTAAAGATGTGCATGTTCAGTTTGTGCATTTATACATGCTCTAAGTAGAGTCCTTCAATGAACAGGAATGGTGCATTCTCCCAGTCTTGATTTTCAATACTCAAAAGTCAAACTTTCAAGCTAGGTATCAGTGGCTCACTTCTCTACTCCTGGCTACTTAGGAGGCTGAGATCTTGAGGATCACTGTCCTAGGCAGGACAGTTTGTGAGATTCTTATCTCCAAATAATCACACACACACACACACACACACACACACACACACACACACACACAAGCCAGAAGTGGAACACTAGCCTTGAGCAAAAAAAAGCTCAGGGACAATATCCAAGCCTGAGTTCAAGCCCCAGCACTAACACACAAAAAAGCCACACTTCAGTGAACATGAATTAGGTACAGAAGGTGACAGGGTTAGTAGCCACAGGAATGTAAAGAACCTCACCCTATTTTGGTTTATTGTGACCAAAAGTATTCAACAAACAAATGTCTACAATACACAACTATAATATAGAACCGGTTACACTAAAATAACAATTTAGGGGGTAAGAGTAGTGGATCTATGAGCCTGACTGGGGCTCCATCCACCTGCTGCTTTCCTAGGGTGGCAGAGGGCATCTGAGTGGGTGCCTCGAGATATTCAAGACATGGTCCTTCTGCCACCAAATGTTTGCTGATCCTGTATCAGGCCCAGGTCTAGTGTGGAGGTGAATGACAAGACCCATTCTTTCACGGAGCCAGCATTCTGAGTAGGAAGACATGTGACGAGTCTGCGGTGAAGGGCATAAAGAAGGTAAGTGGTGAAGTGGGAACAGGAGGACACCCCCGCACCTCACCCACCAGCACGGTCCCCACAATCTACAGTTCGGGGAGCTGAGGCACTGGCAGCAGGGACCTGCTCCAGACTAGAGGGCACCTCCTTGCTAGTACCTGGGCTGGGGTGGGAGTCGGCTTCCTGCAAAGACAGGCTTTCTCTCTCAGTCCCTCCCGATCAGTTCTCTCTCTCTGTCTCTGTCTCTGTCTGTCTCTCCCCCCACCCCTGTCTGTCTGTCTGTGTCTGTCTGTGTCTGTCTGTCTGTCTCTCCCCCTCCCCCCATCTGTCTATGTCTGTCCCCCCTCTCTGTTTCTGTCTGTCTCTCTTTCTCTCCCCCCCCCTCTGTCTGTCTGTCTGTGGTCTGTGTCTGTCTGTGTCTGTCTGTCTCTCTCGATCTCTCTCTCCCCTCCACCATGTCTGTCTGTGTGTGTGTCTCTTCCCCCTGTCTCTGTCTCTCTGTCTCTCTGTGTCTCTATCTCTCTCTGTGTCTCTGTCTCTCTCTGTCTCTCTCTGTCTCTGTCTGTCTCTCTGTCTCTGTCTCTCTCTCTGTATCTGTCTCTCTGTCTCTCTGTCTCTCTCTGTCTCTCTCTGTCTCTGTCTGTCTCTCTGTCTCTGTCTCTCTCTCTGTCTCTGTCTGTCTCTCTGTCTCTGTCTCTCTCTCTGTCTCTGTCTGTCTCTCTGTCTCTGTCTCTCTGTATCTGTCTCTCTGTCTCTCTGTCTCTCTGTCTCTCTGTCTCTCTCTGTCTCTGTCTCTGTCTCTCTCTCTCTGTCTCTGTCTCTCTCTGTCTCTGTCTCTGTCTCTCTGTCTCTCTCTGTCTCTGTCTGTCCCTCTGTCTCTCTCTCCTCCACCATGTCTGTCTGTGTGTTCTTCCCCCCCTCTGTCTGTCTGTGTCTCTCTCTCCCCCACCCCTGTCTGTCTCTGTCTCTGTCTGTCTCTGTCTCTCTGTCTCTCTGTCTGTCTCTCTCTCTCTCTCTTCCTCCCCACCCCCGCAGGTAGGTCCAGGACGTAGGGGGAGGGGGGAGGGGGATTCACGGTGCCCCTGTCCGGGACTCCAGCCTCCCCCCCCCCCAGCCCCATCTCTCCCTCACCCTGGACGCCCGTCCCCCGGAGCCTGCAGGGCGGGGCGGCCCGCGCGCCGCGCGTCCAGCAGGTGGCAGTGGCGAGCGGCCGCGCCCCCCGCGCTGCCCACCGCGCGCCCGCACCATGGATGGCGAGCTCCCCCGCGCCGCCCGGCTCGCCCAGCCGTCCCACCCCCCGCGCGACCACCGGGATTCATGAGCGGCTCGCGGGCGCCGGGCCAGGGGCCTCTGGCTCCCGACGCGGGCCGAGAGGTGGGTCCCGGGGCGGGCCGTGGCTCCGCCAGGTCCCCGCCCTGCCTCCCTGCGGTCCACACCCCCTTTGGGCCCCGGAGCCGCCGGGCCGGAGGAGCGCGGGGTGCGCGGGAGCGGGCGCTGCCAGCCCCGCCGCTGCAGCCGCCGGGCGCTCGGGGGCCGCGGCCGGGGGGCCCTGCCCGCCGCCGCCTCCCGCCTGCTCTCACCTGTCCCTAGTGGTCCCCCTGCCTTCAAGGCCGGCGGCTGCACCGGGCGGAGAGAGCACCTGCGGACGGACGCGGGCTGCCCGCCATCGCCTTTTCACCCCCCAGGTGATGAGCGAGGTCGGGAGCAGGGAAGAGTCACACAGAGACCGGGGCCTCCGGATTGAATGAAACGCGTGCGAAGGCGTCACCATGAACACGAGCAGTGAGTGAATCCTCCTCTCCTTTGCCATGGGAACAGGGCCGGGGAGTGGTGGGGGTGCAGGAGTCCGCGCCCCGGCGCCTGGCATCGGCCCGGACACCCGACCCCCCGCGCGCCCCGGCCGCGCCTCGGGAGCGTCCCCCGGGCACCGGGAAGCCTGTCCGTCTGGCTTTCGGTGATGGTTTTGCTGCTGAGTCGTCCCCGGCGTCAGTTGCCTCTGCCGGGGGGAGGGGGGGGGGGAAGCTGCTGTCTCCCTCTGGCACTGCCTGCGAAGGCCCAGGAAGCGGCAATGTGGCCATTGTCTGGCTGTGGGGGCTCGGAGGGGCCCTCCCTGCGCACCCCTGGCCAGCCGTGCAGGCCCTGTGCGTTCTGAGAAGAGCCAGACGCGGGGAGGATGGTGCTGGGCGGGCATGGGCGGGCACTGGCATGGGGAAAGCGCAATGTGATAAACAGATCCCTCCGAAGCCACCTTTGGGGGGGTCTGGAGGCTGTGGAAGATCCGGCTTCGTGCGTCCCTTGGTGCGCTGGAGCCCAGGCAGGCTCCCTGCCGACTTGGCAGGCTGCTTAGACACCCTGCAGAGCCCAGGGAAAGAGCTAGCCCTTCCCGCAACTGCTCTCAGGTGCCAGGGGCTGCAACTGCCTTACAGAGCCAGGACCAGACATGTTGCTTGCAGGGTCGGGCCTGGGTTCCTGAGAAATGCACTGGAGCCTCAGTAACAGCCCCTGGGATCCTGTGGGTAGGGGCGGGGTGCTGGGGAGGTCTTACTCTCCAGCTCTGTTATCAGCTCGGCTGGCCTGGTTCATCCAGCATCAGGTGGGGTTGTTGGGCCAGAGGCCCTGCAAACATTTCCCGGCCCTGAGGCTCTGAGTTTGCTGTTAGTCCCTGTTCTGCCTCCCAGATTGCCCATCTTTGAAATCAGAGGGACTGTGATCTAATCATCTGTAAATTCTGTCTCCAAGAGCTAGAGCTGAATAGCAAAGCCAAACAAATTTTGAGTACCTGTATTGAGACCATCCAGCCAAACCCTCACCCTCCCCTCGTCTCAAGGCCGTTGGCATAGAGAAGAGGAAACAAAGCAAAAGCAACTGGGATGGAAATGAAATATATTTACTATGTATTTGTATGAGTCATCTCTCCCCGTCTTTCTTTGTATATTGCATAGCCATGCTAAGCAAGGGAGTGAGGCTGGACTCCCTCAGCCACTTCCAGCCGAAGCATTTTGCCTTTCGGTTTTGACAGTCTGGAATGATGGGTTGGCTTCATAGGAGACTGGAGAAAAGAGCAAAATCCTCTGGACGCTTTTACCTTGTGAGCTATATGTTTGCATCTGTGTGATTCCAGAAAAAAAAAAATAAAGATGTGAATTGCCTGTCACTTCTCACTATCTCTAGAAAAAAAGAAATGTATTTATGGGAGTCTTTTCCCATTAAGTGATAGAGGGGAGAGATGGCTCATTTATTTTTCAAGAAACTAAGAGGCAATAAGCAGCTGACTCTGCCTTTCTGTCTCCGGAATCCTAAAGAACTCTTATCCTGTTAGTAACTATGAATATTCCTGAAAGAAAGAAACAGGTTTTCCTTTCTTTTGTTGTTTAAAGAAATAATTATCCATAGAGTGATTACTGCAGAAGACAAGGACTGGCAAAAATGCCATTCAATTTTCATCCACTTTTTCTAAGCAAGGAGGATGTGTATTTCATGGGTAGCCTTGGGATATCTGAGTTACCCCTAAGGGAAAAAAAATGCTTCTCTGAGTAAGTAGCTGGGGGAAGGTTGTGGAAGAGACTTACACTCAGGACTTGGGATCTAGCCATCATCAAAGTTCTCCCAACTGGGAGAGTGTGCAATGAAGAATAGAAACCAGACCTCATAGGAGTGACAGACTGAGCATTGGCAGGAGATCCTTGGCTGACCTAATCTAAGAAAAAAAAATGCTCCCTTTTGAGATGTGGAGTTATTAACCTAATTCTTACACCTGAAATTGTCCCTAGCAGAAATGCGCAGTCAGTAGTGTTTGTTTCAGTTCTGGTTTGGGTGTCCCCACCCCTGAGGCAGACTCTCTCTAAGCTGTGGGATGGATGTCATTGTTACAGCTTAGTAGCTAATATTCAGTAACTTCATTCAAGTTAGGAAGCCAATTGTGTTACAAAAGGCACTGGGCTATTTACTATATTTGACAGTGGGTACCATCCCTAATTAGTGATTCAAATGCCAGTGTTGAAGTGTTGACAAAGCATGAGCTTAGTGTTAAACTCTTAATCACTTCATCTCGAGAAGGGCAGAGAGCTATTTTCTTGGTGTGGCTATAAGAGTGATAGAGCTGCCGGGCACCGGTGGCATACACCTGTAATCCTAGCTACTCAGGAGGCTGAGATCTGAGGATCATGGTTCAAAGCCAGCCCAGGCAGGAAAGTCTGTGAAACTCAAATCTCCAATAAATCACCAGAAAACCAGAAGTGGCGCTGTGGCTCAAGTGGTAGAGCACTTGCCTTGAGCTGAAGAGCTCAGGGACAGTGTCCAGGCCCCACAACCAACAAAAAAAAAAAAAAGAGTGATAGAGTTCAGGCTGTGGAATCGGAGGGTCCCAAATTCCATATTTCCCATTTCTCTTATTAATTGGGTGACCTTCAGAATGGTGTCTCACCACCTGCAAAGATGAGAATGGAAACTATGTGTTCATGTTTAGTGTAAACTACAGAACTGGGAGACTTGCCCGCTGATGCGCTGTCATCACATCACTGATGGGTGGCCAAGCTGTCGTCGTCACTCTAGCAATTGGCCGGTTGGGACCATTGTCACCATTGATTTAAGGACATTAGTAAGCAGGTCATTCAGCCTCTCAGATGTCACACCCAAACTATGAATTGTGAAGTGAACCTGAAGTATGGATTTTGAGGATTAGATGCGGCTATAAGGAAATGTTTGTGTAAACATGTATAAATTATTAATATATATCTCCAATAAATGACCCAAAAAAGCCAGAAGTGGCGTTGTGGCTCAAGTAGTAGAGTGCTCACCTTGAGCAAAAGAACTTAGGGACAGGGCTGGGAAGTTGGCTCAGTGGTAGAGTGCTTGCCTTGCATGCCTGAGGCCCTGGGTTCAATTCCTCAGCACCACATAAGCAAAAAGAAAAAACCCGGAAGTGGCGCTGTGACTCAAGTGGTAGAGCGCTAGCCTTGAGCTGAAGAGCTGAGGGACAGCGCCCAGGCCCAGAGTTCAGGCCCCACGACCGGACCCAAAAAAAAAAGAACTTAGGGACAGCATCCAGGCCCAGAGTTTTTTGCCCAGGACTGGCAGAAAGAAAGAGAAAGACAGAAAGAAAAAGAAAGGAAGGAAGGAAAGAAGGAGGGAGGGAAGGAGGGAGAGAGGGAAGGAGGGAGGGAGGGAGGGAGGAATGCAGGGAGGGGGAAGAGAAAAAGAAGGGAGGGAAGGATAGGGGGAGAAGGAAGGGAGGGAGGAAGGAGAAAGAGGAAAGAAAAGAAAGAAAGAAAGAAAGGAAGGAAGGAAGGAAGGAAGGAAATTTTTCTCAAATAGAGACTGCTCAGTGTAGATGTTAGTTTCATCAGGATCCTCTCTTGCAACACTTTGCTGAGCCTTAGTACACCAAATGGTGTACTAAGAGAAAAGGATAATTCTGGAGTTGAAAGAGTAGAGTAGCAGACAGACCTGAGTGGGTATGACAGATGGGGTATGGTCCTCTGAGCCAATGAGGAAAAGGAAAAAGGCTTCCTAGAGGAGGAACAAGATTGGAGGCCACCCAAGACCTGGCAAAGCCTAGGCCCATGCCAAGTCCTACCTTCCCCTCTGGGTGAAGGATTCCCAAGGAGGATTCTATAGGGGAGTTCTGAGTTCTATAGGGTAGCTCCATCATCCAGCCTTTCTTTCTTCCTGCACCTTCCCAACCTAATTTTGAGGATCCTTTGTTTCCTGATTTTCAGATCAGCCCTCTCCAGTCACCCCCTGACATCCACTCTGCATCACCCTGTGTGGGGTCCTATTTGGCCTGGCCATGGTCTCTGCACTACCCTATTCTCTATGTCCCTGTCACATCTGCCTCTTTCCATTTGAAGAGCTTGTTCCTTTGACTTTGGTGCCCCTCTGCCCACTCCACACCCATCCTCCACAGCTGCTCAATTCCTCCTTGGCGCCCCCCCTCCCCCCCCCAGCAACATCCTGGACTCTCTCTTCATTCTAATTTGTACTTTGCCTTTTTCATTGTCTGTGCTAGTATTAGGACTTGAACTCAGAGCCTGAGCACTGTCCCTTAGCTTTTTCACTCAAGGCTGAAACTCTACCACACCTCTACTTTAAACATTTTGGTGGTTAATCAGAGATGAGAGTTTCCTGGACTTTCCTGCCTTGGCTGTCTTCAAACAGTGATCCTCAGACCTCAACCTCCTGAGGAACTAGGTTGACAGGTGTGAGCCTCTAGCGCCCAGCTTATACATTGCCTTTTTTATGAATGCAAACCATATGCTTTCACCGTCCAGAGCAATGGGGCAATAACTACAGAATGTGCATATTCTCATTTTGGTTATCCTTTATTGGAATCTCCAGTTCTTACGTTGGTAGAAAGAATTCCAAAACTAAGGAGACTGAATCGATCCCAAGTATGCTTAGACCCTGAACACTGTGTCCTGTAAAATGTTATGTTCCTCACTTAGACCAGAACTTCCTAAGCTTCTGAATGCTATGGTTTTCACAAGTGCAAAACTCAGGGATGGTTCAACCCTGTGGTGGGGTAAGCATCCTGAACACTGTGAACAATGGATTCTTCCCCATTTCTAAGCTTCCTCCTCCTGCCTCTGGCCCCTCTGTAGCCTTTATCATGGATTAGCATGCTGAAAAATTACTATTTGGGTATAAACTTGGTTTTGTTGAAGCGTGTATTCAAGAATCATGTAGCTGGGCTGGGAAGGTGGCTCAGTGGTAGAGTGCTTACCTTGCATGCATGAGGCCCTGGGTTCAATTCCTCCGCACCACATAAGAAGAAAAAGCTGGAA